TTATTGGGTGAATATATGTTGGAATTCATTATCAACTGCCAGGTGCCATCCCTGAGGATAGATAGAATTAATTATGTTTTAATATTTTCTAGAGGTGGGTGAAAGAAGTAGTGGTTAATCTTGAAGGATGTATGTTAACTGACTCGGATTTCCCTTAAATACCACCTGAGTTCCATTCCTGGTGGATTTGAAGAGGGGAGTTTCCTCCCGCCTCGTTGAAACTCTTTTTCTGGATTTGATGAGCTTATGGATATTGCCAGAGTTTAAGGCAGTGGATTTTAGTCCCAGCCTTGCAGCTTACACACACACCTGGTTGCTCCCCAGATTTCTGGAGAGTCTCAATCTGTAAGCCATGCATACTTTTTTTGTTTTAATGCTCCATGGGTATTTTTGATAAGCATCTAGAGTTGACACCCACTAGCTTGACCTAGTAACTATTGTATGTGATTTTTTTATCTTGAAGTGTTTGAAGATAGTTGAAACGATTAACGCATAAATCTGTTGCCTCAGCCTTGACAACTACTATATATTCAACAGAAATCTCTCTTCTGTCTCTTTATTCTCATTGCTGCCACTCTGGTACAAGCTTTTATTGTCTGCCATATGAAATATACTATCTTCTAGATGGCTTTATTCTCGTCTCTGTTTTCTCCCTTTCTGTCAGTCTTTGACATTGCTAATTGATGTAGTGTTAGTACACATGCACACACATTTATTATCTCAAAAGAGCCCTTTACAGTTCTCTGAATGCATCATGCTTACTGGTATTCTTTTACGTTTGCTCTGCTGTCTCCCTCATCTTAAATACCCTGCCCTCTCCTCTCTGAAGCACTAAATCCTTCAAGACCCAGATCCAGTTGTTACTCCCTTTAAAATACATTTACTATGCAATATTAAAGGAATACAGAGGATATAATGAGTAATACCCTATTTCACACACATAAGATCTTATATCACTGATTTTGAGAGGAACTATCTTGTGTCTCACTGAGAAAGAAATACTACCATTGAAGCTATAACATGACTGCAAAACATATCTTAATTTCAGAAAAAAAAAATAAATCTGTGAAATACAGCATAAGGAATACCATTTGTTTGCACTCTGTCTGAAAAACATTGCCAGTACTTTGAAGTTCCCTATGTGCCCCTTTACCATCTTATACACTCCTTTATCCTGAATTTTATATTTGTCATTTGGTTCTTTTATACTTTAATAGGCCTCTTGAAGACCTTGGAGAATAAGCTCTTATAGTCCTTTATTTTAAACAAGTTTTGGATGTACAATATCTCCAAGTCATCCATCACTTAATAAAATTACATAATTGACTACTGAAATATATCTGCTCAAGTTTCTTCTCTATTATATTATCTTTCTATTTTTGCTGTCTGTGGGGAGGTTATAGAACTCACCTTCTCAATGTGGTCCCTCTGCAACCCATTGGCTTTTGAAGATGTGATGTACAGCTGGTGCTGGCTGTATATACACTGATTAGGACTTTCTGGGCAGAGGAGCAGGTGCTTCTGATGGCCCTCTGGGAAAGGTATTCTAGTTTACATGTTTTGTTATCAGTTCTCATGGCCAGGTGAGCTGTGTAGCTGTAAAAATCAGGCCTGCCATCTAAAAGACAATATCATACTTGAGACATTACAGGGTTTCAGTCACAATTTTGTCACCTCCGAGACGGAGTCTTGTTCTGTCGCCCAGGATGGAGTGCAGTGGCACAATGTCAGCTCCCTGCAACCTCCACCTCCCAGGTTCAAGCGATTCTACTGCCTCAGCCTCATGATTAGCTGGGATTACAGGTGCCCACCACCACTCCTGGCTAATTTTTGTATTGTTAGTAGAGATGGGATTTCACCATGTTGGCCAGGCTGGTCTTGAACTCCTGACCTCAAATGATCTACTCGCCTTGGCCTCCCAAAGTGCTGGGATTACAGGTGTGAGCTTCAGTCACAATTTTTAACAACCACAATGCTTGTTTTCCAGGGAATTGTATTTTCCTCTGGGGAGTTCTATCAGAAATGGGATTATTTCTATCTTGTCCTTCATTCAGCCTCATTAATTCGTCAAAAGAGCATTAACCCATTCAACCCTCTTTAATAATGTGGCGTACACTTTTGACTACAGCTTTCATGACTTACTTATACTTTGTATTGAAAAAATAAAGCTGCCCTGGGTTGAGCCAGTACTATAGAGTCAACCTCAGTCTAGAGGTAGGACCTTTACCTTCTGAGAGTTCTGGTTTACTGTAACAATAATGAATGTTGTTCATGTGATGATTTTGCTTTTGGAAGTGTCTACTAGCTCAAAGGTAATATTATAGTTTGAGATTCTTCCTAGTGAGACAACATTAACAAATTCACAGGATTAAACTGAGAAT